TCTGAAACCAAAACGGCCCGTTTCAAAGTTGAGTTTAACACATAACTACCCATGCTGGAATGGCCCGTTCCAAACTAGGGTTTTAGGCTTTTTTTTGTAACTTGGGACGAATCGTTCCAGTTTAGGAACCGCCCTAAACCCCAATTCAGGAACAGCCCGTTCCAACTAGGGAATAGTCCATTTCAGTTCTGGAATAGCCCATTCCGAGCTACTAAAACCAGCTTATTTGGACTTTAGGCTTTCTGATGTCATGTCCTATTTTTTCCATGCTTCGGGAGCTCCTTTCCATCATAATAAACATCCATTTCATTGATTTTGTGGGTCCGAACGAAATTGGGTGTCTACATGATGGAACTACTTGGAGATGGTTGATGTTTCTTCAAGTTGAACCAAATAAATCCCTTCTTCTCTTGAGGTTCTTCACGGCTAGGTAAGAATGAAGGAGTTTCAAGCTTCATAAAGCTTGAAGAAGCAACAATGGTGGTTCGGTTTCTCTAAAAGGAGAGAAACTTTAGGAACCAAGCATAAAGGAGAAGTTCCTTTGTGAAGCTTCTAGGAGAAGAAGATTCTCTGCGAAATTAGACTCTTGAAAATGAGAGAGAATTATGAATTCTATTTCTCAAAATATGTCAAAAGTGATTACATAAGTAGAAATTACAAATATATAGAGGTAGGTAGCTTAAGGAGCAAGCTAACCTTCACCATGGTTCACTAGTAACCATGGTAAGGTTAGTTGACCTTCTAGGTGAGTTTAGAAACTTGTGGAACAAGCTTCTCACTTAGCTTGCTTGGGAAGCAAGCTAAGGAGAAGCTTGTAGCACAAGCTTCTTAACTCCTTGAGAAGTAGAGAAGCAATTTCGGCTAAAGGAGGAGCTAGGCAAGGTGGGGGGCCATGTGTCATTTTTCTCACTTTGATTATTTCAAAAATGTTTGATTTGGTTTAGATAGGTTCATCCAATGATGATGAAACCTAGCTAAATCAAATCTATGAAAAATTAGGAGCAAAATGAGTCCAATATGTAAAATTTTTCCTAGGCCCAATTCTGGACCAATTACTAGTCACACCCTCAAACATTGCTAAATGCCACCCCTCTTTTCCTACTGAAAAAAATAGAAAATGAGTGTATCAACAAAGGAGGTTAAATGGAGTCAAACTCTCAAAGTAACCCACCCTAGAATCAATATACAATGACTAATAAAAGAAACTAAAGTGCCTCACAAATACACAAGCAAAAATAAGCCTATACAAGAGAACTTTGTACAAGATATTTACAACTAGAACTATGTCTTCTCTTCATGATAGAGTGGTCCAAATTGAAGAGTACCTTGGGCTTGGAAAGCCCACTGGTCTTCAAGGTGTCCACTAGTCTTCAAGGTGGCCACAACTCTAGTGATTGGGCCCTTAGCCTATGGTCCATCATCTCATTCCTCTTGGTTCTTTCAATGTATCACCTCTTGAATTGCTTGGCCTTGGCCATAGTCTATCAAAAGGGGCCAAGGGATCACCTTGTGTTAGCCCCCTTTTCATTGGTAATTTGTTCGTGGGGCTATCGTTAACTAGCACTAGGAGATAAGTTGTATTAAGACACTCCCTGATCCATCCAATCCATTTAGGATTAAAACCCAAGTTCTCAAGCATGTACAATAGGTACTCCCAAGACACCGAGTCATACGCCTTCTCATAATCAACCGTAAAAAATATGATAGGTTTTTTTCATCCTTTTAGCCTCATCAATAACCTCATTAACAACTAGCACACTATGTAGCATATTCTTACCTTCAACGAAGGCGCTTTGTAGCTCATCAATAACACTCGGCAACACTTGACCCTATTGGCAAGAACTTTGGCTAAAATCTTGTACATACAGCCAACCAAAGATATGGGCCTGTAATCCTCAAGACTTTGTGGTTCTTACTTCTTTGGTATGAGAGTGATGAAGGAAGAATTTGTGCCCCTAGGCAATCTCCCATTGTGATGGAGTTCCATAAGAAAGCAACAAATATCCCCTCTTAAAGTTTCCCAAAATTCCTTTAAGAATTTGAAATTCACACCATTAGGACTCGGGCATTTATTGTTATCGCACTCCCAAACTATAGATCGAATCTCCTTTTCAGAAAATGGAGTAATGAGCAATTCATTATGATCTTGGTAAATTGATCTAAAATGTATACCATCCAGTCTTGGTCTATTTGGCATTTGTAACATCTAATAGTATAAATATTAATCCCAATATTATACGTATATATATAT